AATTTCTCATCAGAAACCATAAAGCCAGAAGGTAGTGAGCTAACATATTCAAAGTGTTGAAAGACAAAGACTGTCAACCAAGAGTTTTTTACCCAGCACAAATAGCCTTCAAAAATAATGGAAAGGCGCCGGGTGTGGTGGCTCACGCCTGTAATCCCAGTACTTTGGGAGGCCGAGGCAGGCAGATCACAAGATCAAGAGTTCGAGAACAGCCTGGCCAATATGGTGAAACCTTGACTCTACTAAAAATACAAAAATTTGTCGGGCATTGTGGTGTATGCCTGTAATCCCAGCTACTTGGGAGGCTGAGGCAAAAGAATCGCTTGAACCAGGGAGGCAGAGGTTGCAGCGAGCTGAGATTGCGATACCACATTCCAGCCTGGACTAAAGAGCGAGACTCCTTCTCAAAAAAAAAAAAGGAAAGATTAAGACATTCTCAGATAAAAAGTGAGGCAATTCGTCATTAGCAGATCTGCCCTAACGGAGCCACTAGACAAGACAGTCCTTTGGGCTAAAATACCAGGATATTAGAAAGTATTATAACTCAAATACACATGAAGAAATAAACAGAAAATAAGGTAGCGGTAATTACATAATTGGAAAAGACAAGCCAGGGGCAGCGGCTCACGCCTGTAATCCCAGCACTTTGGGAGGCCGAGGCGGGCAGATCACCTGAGGTCAGGAGTTCAAGACCAAACTGGCCAACGTAGTGAAACTTCGTCTCTACTAAAAACCCAAAAATTAGCCGGGAATAGTGGCATGTGCCTATAATCCCAGCATGTGCCTGTAAGCTCAGCCCAGGAGGCTGAGGCAGGAGAATCGCTGGAACTCAGGAGGTGGAGGCTGCAGTGAGCCAAGATCGTGCCATTACACTCCAGCCTGGGCGAGAGAGCAAAGACTCTCTCAAAAAAAGAAAGAAAGAACGAACGAACGAACAAGACAAGATAAGACAGTACAAATGTATTATCTGTAACTCTTCTCCTATCTGATTCAAAAGATCAAGACATAAAATAGTAAGTATAAAACTCTAGTAACAGGGCTATAATGTGTAATGATCACCTTTATATGAAAATAATAGTACACGCAAGTGGGAGGAGAACAAAGCTAAGCAGGAGTGGTTTTTGTATACTACAGATATGTTGTTGGCATTAATCCAGACTGTATTGTTATAAATTAAGATGCTGGTTGTAATCCCTAGAAAAACAACTAAAAATGTAGATTAACAACTATTGGCTGGCTGCGGTGGCTCACTCCTGTAATCCAGCACTTTGGGTGGCTGAGGCAGGTGGATCGCTTGCGCTCAGGAGTTGGAGACTAGTCTGGGCAATACAGTGAGACTCCACCTCTACAAAAAATTAGCCAGGTGTGGTGACAAGCACCTGTGGTCCCAGTGACTTGGACTCCGCTCATTGCAGAGGCTGCAGTGAGCCAAGATAGCACCACTACACTCCAGCCTAAACAACAGAGCGAGATTTGTCTCAAAAAAAAAAAAACCAAAAAACGAAAAACAAAAAAAACAAACAAAAAAAACTATTAAAAGAATATTAGTGGTTGCAAGGAGATAGAAAGTGACCACCACTTAATACAGGGTTTCTTTTGGAACTGTAAAAGGAATTAGTGGCGATGGTTGCACAATTTTGTTAACTCAAAACTACTGAACAGTATGCTTTAATACTGTCAATTTTACGATCTGTAAATTTTATCTCCATAAAAGATCAATTCAATTAAGATAAATTTAAGACAGATATAAGCAATTAACTGCATAATATGTGAATTTTACATCAAAATTAAAAATATTGAACCCTAGAAAATAATACGGACACTTTCAAAACTAGGAAAAAGTATACCGATATTTACAACTTGTTTTGAACTGTATTAAAAAACCAGATAAACTAATGGTGGGACAGATATATAAGGAGTCAAGCAACTATCAACGGTAAAACCTAGGTGGGAGTATATGGGTATTTCCTGTAGAATTTCAACTTTTCTGTATGTTTTTAAATGTTCATAATAAAATACTAAAAGAAAAAAAACAGCACTGAGGAAACACTCAGATCCAGGTTGTGGACCATTCTACAAGAAAACTAGCCTAAACACTACAGAAAAATTAAAATATTATGAAAAACACAAAAGCTAGGGAAACTATCATAGAATGAAGGAGACCAGACATGACAACAGAAAAAAAAACTTATGAAAATCTTATGTTAAATATTTTTGCACTAATGATAAATTTCTTAGATGTAATGATTTTGTAGTTATGTATGAGAATCCGCTTGTTCTCAAAATACACATGCTACAGTATTTGGGAGTGAAATGTCACAAACTGACAGTAGTGTACTTTCAAATGATTCAGAAAAGCAAAGTATGTGTGTGCAAGTGTGTAGACAGATCATAAATGTGACAAAACATTAACAACTGATAAATCTAGGTGAAGGATATAGGGGTGCTAGTTCTTTCATCTTGTCTACTGGCTTGTAATGTTTCAAAATAAAAAGGGTGGGAGGAGGGAGTAGTACCCAGGTAAATGAGTTACGAATATTTCCAAACTGAAATTCTCACGTCTCCCTCTACTCTCCCCGCTATCTACTATGCTACAGTCACAACAGCCTCCTTTCTGTCCTTCAAACAAAACAAGACTGTCACAATTTCAGTCTTTGCTTTGCTGGTGCTTCTTCTACCTGAAACACACTTCTTACAGATCTTTATTTGGCTGCTTTCTTCTGATCATTCAAGCCTCAACTCAAATATAATCTCAAAGAGGCCCTCTTCTCCAACCACCTTATCTAGAGGAGATGTGCATCAGCTCTATTATCCTACTTTTTTTTTCTAGCAATCCATTCCTTCAACATTACTCTTACATTTTATTCATAGTAATAATAACTGAAATGCTTCCACATGTAATTTTTTGTGTTTACTTCTGTTTCTCTCTCCAATACCACATGAGCTACAGGTCAAGACTGTTAGTTGTTTAGTACTTTTAGCCTGTTCTTGCCTTTCTTCTATAGCCAGTCTTCTATCACATCCATCTTTGTATCCAGAAAAAAACAAATGGAAGGAGTAAAGTAACTGAGCAGAAGCTAGAGGCTGAAGGGGTGTATCTGATGTTGATAGAAATTACAGTGGGTCAAGGAACTGATACTGGACTTAAAAGACAGTATAAGTACCTAACAGCTATAACAATTGTTTACTGACACCAAATCCATAAAGCTAAGACTAAAACCAGGAGCAAAAAAATTTTTGCCAGAAATTACAATTTCCCTAATATTTGGTTAAATTTAAAAGTTTGTGTCGTTCTAAGAACTACAGAAAAATCAGAGTCAATGTCCCATGAATTCAGTTAAGATTTTCATTTCTTTCTACTCTTCTAGTTGATATAACTGACGTTTTTCTGACCATTTTGCCTAATCTACCATCTGTTCTACCTTCCCTTCTACCTAATACTTCTGTCATATGCTAAATCCTATCATCACACTATTAAAGACAGTGGTCTTTGCCTTCTCTCTGGCTCTTTATAAATCCTTTAAATGCCACATATTCAAGAAAATGGTGAAAGAGAATGGCTGCGGAGAAGTCTAGGCCAGGTGCAGTGGCTCACGCCCGTAATCCTAGCACTTTGGGAGGCTGAGGGGGGTAGATCACCTGAGGTCAGGAGTTCCAGACCAGACTGGTTAACATGGTGAAACCCCGTCTCTACTAAAAATACAAAAAATAGCCAGGCATGGTGGTGGGTTCCTGTAGTCCCAGCTACTTGGGAGGCTGAGGCAGAAGAATCATCTGAACCTGGGAGGCAGAGGTTGCAGTGAGCCAAGATTGCACCACTGCACTTTAGCCTGGACAACAGAGCAAGACTTTGTCTCAAAAAAAAAAAAAAAAAAAAAGTCTGAGGTCAGGAATGAGAATAACTAACATGACAGCTTCTATAGTTTGTATTTATTGACTGTTTACCATATGCCAGGCTCTGTCCTAAGGATTTTACATGTACTAACTCACTTAGTTGTCACAAAACCTCATGGGATAATATCCCCATTTTATGGCTACGTAAGCTGAGGCACAGAGAAGTAAAGGAAGTTGACCAATGTCACACAATTAGTAAGTGGCAAGGCTAGAATCCAAACCAGGTCAAACGACACAAGAGTCTTTGTTTTTCATACTACATTGTCTCTTACAATGGAACTGTTAAGTCTTTACTAATTTGATTAAAATTTTGAGGGTGCTGAAATTTTAGAAGCAAGAAGACCAATGCGCTAACTATATTAACACATTGAGATTGATCCTTAAATGTGGGTGACTTTTCTTGACAAGGAAAGGAACAAAGCAGGTTATGAACACACAACAACTATTTAATAAGAATGCCAAGAGACTCTTCCCAAGTATGTTGTTAGAAGTACAGCAACATAGCTTAAAATATCAAAAGACTTGTGGGTCAAAGCTCTTCTTACTAGAGTTCCACTAATATCCCAAGGATCTAAATCTTTTTTACATCTGATGGTTTTTAGCATATGTTGTTTTCCCTGTGACATCCTCATTCAGGATATTTTCTACAAGCACATTCTGATATATAACTCCACTAGATTCCACTCCTGAATGTTTTGCAAAAAGAGCTCTGAAAGTAGAGCAACAGTGAGCTCCACAGAACCACATGCAGTTTTAGGTATTTTGCAAATGGTATGAAGTGATTTCTAAAACCATTTTAAAACCATTCTACTGCTTTAGAGGCTATACAGAGTTAGGAAAGGGGAATTTCGTTCTAAGGTACCCAACATATTAATTCCCACATACCTCAGGAAATGCAAAATGAGCTGTTTAATGGAATGGCACAATATTATATAGTTCTAACTATTTCTAAGTATCAATCATAAAAATTCTATAATATAAAACCTAAATAAATATGTGGATAACAGTAAAACCTCCAATGTATCATATGCATCCAAAGGCATACCAGTTTTTTATCCTTATTAAAATACATAGCTACCCACACACAAAAAAAAAGGTTTTCTAACCTTTCAAAGTCACCTTGTCTTGTGAATTTTGACAACCTATACACGGCCCAGTTGTTAAGCTGTTTAGAGGTCATTCCTCTTCCATTATCTATCACTGCAACAGCAGGTTTTCCTTGTGTTTCATCAAAAAGCTATGAAACAAAGTAAGTTCAAAATGACAGGAAAAGTCAAATCAATATTTAAAACATGAAAAGTTAAATATGAAAAAAACGATTTAATGGGCTCACTTATACATTACTGATGGAAGTGCAAATTAATACAATTTTCTGAAAGGCACTTCAGCAGCAGTATGTATCAAAAGCCTCAGAATTCTTCATGTCCTTTAGCCTAGAAATTCCATTTCTCAGAATTCAACTTAAGGAAATATTCAGAGACATGTACAAAGGTGTGCAAGAATGTTCATCATTCCGGCATTCCTTCCAGTGGCAAAAATACAGGAAAAAAATCTAAATGTTCAACAATAGAACACAAACTACAGAATTTACATTACAGCCAATAAGCCACTGCAACAACAGTTCTGCAATTGTATTGCAGAACATTCATGATACGGCACATGTTAACAATGTACTGTTAAGGGAAAGTAGAAGATTACAAAAAAGCAAAGGTACATATACATGTATGTATACATACATGCATAGAAAACAACATGAAAAAATTTTAACAACGGATGAAGAGATATCTGACAATTATTTATACTTTTAGTTTTACCTTTATTTTCTACTTTTCTCCAATAAACTTTTATTACTCTTACAAAAAGAAAGTTAAATTGCTTTACAGTATTATTTCCTTACCAATTTGATCTGTATTCTTCTAACCCCAATGTTACGAGAAGTAGCAGACAATGAATTGTCAATTAATTCCGCAAGAGCAAATGCTGCAAGAGATTAAGAAAACATTGCTTAACTTTTCCCTCCCACATACTTTATATAAAAGTTCAAAGAAGAAGAAACTGTCAAGTACCTTAAAGCCAAAGAGCTAGAATTAAAGTATTATCCTGATCCTAATGATATAATACATAATAAAGGCATCATCACCAATCACCACCAGCATCAAAAAAGCAGTCATCAATCAGTACTTGTATGGCACTATACAGCATGAGTCAGCCAGCCATGATTCCTGGCTTCAAGGAGTTTATAATCTAAAGACAGACATACAGACATTAAGAGACAAACAGAAGACCATAACCATAAAATCAAATAGTCTGCGGTATGTAATTACATCATGCACAAGTCCAAAGTAAGCACATTTGGAAATACGGGGCAAATATAAGGTAATATGTGTCTCTCTTTTTTTTTAATTTCCTATACTGCTCATGTGCAAAATAAGTGTCTCTTAAAAGCTAATTTGCATATAGAATTCTTATGACTAACACATTTTTCAAGTGGCAGAATGCATTTGCTCAACTGACACAGAACTGCTATTGATTCACTACCACACCACCAATCTGACATTCAATTTATCACTGGCTCAACACTAACTAATATTCTCCTTTCTTCAAGGTCACTATTCACACTATTTCCTGCTTTTATCCCCTTAGTAAAAAGAAAGGGAACATATCAAATTTACGTATCTTAATTCTGCAGAAGCTTAACCCAACAAAAACTGTAATTAATCCAAAGTAGCACTTCAGACTGGATGTGGTGGCTCACGCCTGTAATCTCAACACTCTGGGAGGCCAAGGCAGGCTGATCACCTGAGGTCAGGAGTTTGAGACCAGCCTGGCCAACACAGCAAAACCCCTTCTCTACTAAAAATACAAAAAAATAGCTGGGCGTGGTAGCCGGTGCCTATAATCCCAGCTACTCGGGAGGCTGAGACAGGAGAATCGCTTGAACCTGGGAGGTAGAGGTTGCAGCGAGCCAAGATTGCACCACTGCACTCCAGCCTGGGCAACAGAGCGAGACTCTATCTCAAAAAAAAAAAAAAAAAAAAAAAAAAAAAAACCAAAGTAGCACTCCAGCAAGCACTTCTAAACACTCCAAGGATAGCTATGTTTATAAACTAATTGCAAAGAAGTTACCACAAATCAGATTATGTACAAGGGTCTGGCTAAGGAAATAACTCCACAAAATGAAGAAGGGACACTGTAGGAAACGGCAGGAAAAGAAACTTAAAGAGAAATTTGGAAGGAAGAACTGAGTAGAATTTAGAATCTGATTAGATGAAAAAGAAGAGGGGAAAAAGAAATTCAAGATGCATTTAAGTCTCTGCCTCTAGAAGACTAGACAAATGGTAACATTTCCCATAAAGAGAAAATTTAGAAGGGAGGAAAGAAAAATTCAGTTTAGATCTGATGCCCTACCACCATATTAAGCTCAATGAGCAGAGGTGTTCCAAAGAAAGCTGAAGCAGATATTGTGCTTAATTGAGACTGAAGACAGCCAGAGATAAAAGTTTTGCTTCATTACACAGGTACAACAGTTAAAGCTTGGATCAGTTTACTAAAAGTATAAAAATAAAAGATCAAGGCCAGGTGCAGTGGCTCAAACCTGTAATCCCAGCACTTTGGGAGGCCGAGGCAGGCGGATCACAAGGTCAGAAGATCAAGACCATCCTGGCTAACATGGTGAAACCCTGTCTCTACTAAAAAAATACAAAAAATTAGCCAGGCATGGTGGCGGGCGCCTGCAGTCCCAGCTACTCGGGAGGCTAAGGCAGGACAATGGCGTGCACCCGGAAGGCGGGGCTTGCAGTGACCCGACATAACACCACTGCACTCCAGCTGGGGCGACAGAGTGAGACTCCGTCTCAAAAAAAAAAAAATCAACATGACTTGAAGAAATGTCCACCAGAGTCAAAAAGAACCAGAAGTAGGGAAACAGAAGTAGGGAAAGACCCAGGAATGTACTGTAAAGTCACAGAAATCAAGGCAAGATTTTAAACACTGGGGTTGTCTGCTTATCCATATAATGATGGTATGAATGAAAACTGATATGGTTTTCAACTGATAGGGTTTCAACTGATACTGTTTTCATATCATTTCATGATGGTATGATGAAAACTGATCAATCTGAAACATAAACCATATTAAGAGTTTAATAAATACTTCTGTTGACACTATAATTACACATTTAGCAATTTATCCCCAGGAAAATAATTAAAGATTCATGGGCCAGGTGCGGTGGTTCACGCCTGTAATCCCAGCACTTCGGGAGGTCAAGGCGGGAGGATCACCTGAGGTTGGGGGTTCGAGACCAGCCTGACCAGCATGGAGAAACTCCATCTCTACTAAAAATACAAAATTAGCCAGGCGTGGTGGTGCATGCCTGTAATCCCAGGAACTCATGAGGCTGAGGCAGGAGAATCGCTTGAACCCAGGAGGCGGAGGTTGTGGTGAGCCGAGATCAAGATATTGCACTCCAGCCTGGGCAACGAGCGAAACGCCATCTCAAAAAAAAAAAAAAAGAATTAAAGATGCACTCCTCAATTTTTTTTTTTTTTTTTAGATGCAGTCTCCCTCTGGTGCCTAGGCTGGAGTGGCAGTGGCATGATCTCAGCTCACTATAAGCTCCACCACCCGGGTTCAAGCGATTCTCCTGCCTCAGCCTCTCGAGTAGCTGGGATTACAGGCACCCACCTCCACGCCTGGCCAATTTTCGTATTTTTAGTAGAGATGGGGTTTCACCATGTTGGCCAGGATGGTCTCAAACTCCTGACCTCAAGTGATCTGCCCGCTGCGGCTTCCAAAGTGCTGGGATTACAGGCGTGAGCCCGGCCAGATTCACTCAATTTTAAAATATTTAAGCACCTACTATGTGCCAGGCATTGTTCTAGGAACTGAACAAAGCAGATGAAGGTTCTGTTTTTATGGACTTAACATTCTAATGGAGGAATATGGGAAAAAAAATATAAACATAATAAATTCTACAGCAAGTTAGAAGATGGTTTGTGCAATGGAGAAAAAAGAAACAGCAGAGAAATGAAATCAAGTAACAGTAAAGACACAGAGGGAACACAGTTGCAATTAAATACAGTAAGTTTTGTTGAGAAGACAGCAGATAACCAAGACTTGGAGGAAGTGAAGAAAGGCTAACTGGAGGAAGAGCATTTCAAGCAGAGGGCCCTAAGCTAAGAATATGGATGGCACTGAAGGGGAGTGAAAAAGTAAGAAAGGTAGTAGAAACAAAGTCAGAGAAGTACAAAGCAGAGCTAGTAAGGTTCTGCAGGCAACTGTAACGACTTTGGCTTTTACTCTTAGTGAAATGGGGAGCCATGAGTGTTTTCAGCAGAAGAGTGACACAATCTGATTTCTCAAACCTTTATGGACAGGGATGAAAAGACCGGTACCAGAAACTACCAGTTAGTGTAATCTGGGTGGATATGATGGTGCCTCCACACCAGGTGGTAGCAATAGAAATGGTGAGAAATGGTCATTTTAAGACAAAACATTGAGAATAGGACCCAAAGGATTTTCTGTCAGATTAAATAAGAGGTTTGAGAAATATAAGTATCAATTTGATTTTTGGCCTGTGCCGCAGGAAGGACACAGTAATAATCAATTCAGATGGGGGAAACTGTGTGGTATAAAATTCAGTGAGCAGATGAGGGTTCCCATTTTAGACATCCTAGAGAAGATGCCACATTGGCAGCTGGATGGATAAAATTGGAATTCAAGAGATAAACCTGGCACCATTTTCAATATTTAACTAAAAATTACCATTTCTTACCTCTTCCTTGTGACAGTCACTTCCATAATGATGTTATTTAGAACCATGAGATAGGACCTGATGACCAAGTGAGGAAGTAAGATACAACATAAAGGGCAAGGACTAAGCCCTAAGGCACTTCAACATTAAGAAGGTGGGGAGAGAAGAAAGGGCAGGCAGTGAGGTAAGAAGAAAATCAAGGTGCTTATAATCCCAGGGCTTTGAGAGACCAAGGCTCTCAATAATTTGAGGCCAGCAATTCAAGACCAGCCTGGGCAACATAGCAAGACTCCATCTCTACAAAGAAAATTTTATTTTTATTTTTAATTTTTAGAGACAGAGTCTCACTCTGTTGCCCAGAATGAAGTACAGGGGTGCAGTCATAGCTCACTGTAGGCTCGAATTCCTTGGGTCACTCAAGCAATCCCCCTGCCACTGCCTCCCAAGTAGCTAAGCAACGCATGCACCAAAACGTCCAAATAATTTCTGTATTTTTTTGTAAAGATAGGGTCACATTGTGCACCCCAGGTTGGTCCTAAAGTCCCGGTCTCAAGTGATCTTCCCGCCTCGACCTCTCAAAGTGCTGGGATTACAGGCATGAGCCACTGCATCCAGCTACAATTTTTTTTTTTAATTAGCTGGGCATGGTGGTATGCACTTGTAGTCCTAGTCATTCAGGAGACTGAGGCACGGGGACTGCTTACGCTTAGGAGTTTGAGGCTACAGTGTGCTGTGGTCATGCCACTGCAAAAAGGAAGAAAATCAAGAAAAACATGGACTCTTGAAAGTCAAGCGAGAAAAGTGTATCAAAAAGGAAGAAGTACCAAAACAATCTCTAACACTTCAAGAAAAATTAGAACTGGCCGGGCGCGGTGGCTCAAGCCTGTAATCCCAGCACTTTGGGAGGCCGAGACAGGCGGATCACGAGGTCAGGAGATCAAGACCATTCTGGCTAACCCGGTGAAACCCCGTCTCTACTGAAAAAATACAAAAAACTAGCCGGGCGAGGTCGTGGGCGCCTGTAGTCCCAGCTACTCGAGAGGCTGAGGCAGGAGAATGGCGTAAACCCGGGAGGCGGAGCTTGCAGTGAGCTGAGATCTGGCCACTGCACTCCAGCCTGGGCGACACAGCAAGACTCCGTTTCAAAAAAAAAAAAAAAAGAAAACTTAGAACTGAAAATTAAAAATTGATCACTGGATTTAGTTGTTGGTAACCATAAAAGAGTGGTACAGTAGAGTGGTAGGTAAAAATGTCTGGTCAGAGTAGGAAAGAATGGGAGGAAGAGAAGTACTGCTGATAGCGAATGCAGTCAGCTCTCTGGAAGAGTTTTGCCATAAACAGAATCAAAAAATTTTAGGCAGTAGCCAGTGAAGGAAGTAAGACTTCAGTGTTTTTAAGATGGGAGAAGAGCTTTTCTGTACAAAAAGAACAACATGATAGGTAATAAATGTACTAGTTATATACTCAAGCTCTGAAGTCACTCTCTTAAAGTTTAAATGCTGGCTCCACTACTCCCTAGTAGTGTGGCCTTGGGCAAGTTACCTAAAATCTCTTAGTCCCAGTTAATTCTGCAAAACAGGATCTTTACCTAAATTATTTTCTAACATTAGCTACCACACAGGATTAAGGAGTAAATGAGACAATGCTCATAAGTACTTGGTACAACGCCTGGCACTGTAGCTGATAGTAATGATAGTAGCGGTAGTGTTATGTTAAGAAAGCACACAAAGATTTAGCCAGAAGAACATTCAGTGTCATTTGTAACCATAACAAAATTAAAAACAACCTAAATGTCTAATAGAAGAACACTGTTCAGACTGGGCATGGTGACTTATACCTGTAATCCCAGCACTTTGGGAGGCTGAGGCGGGAGGATCACTTAGGTCAGGAGTTTGAGACCAGCCTGGTCAACATGGTGAAACTCCGTCTCTACTAAAAACACAAAAATTAGCCAGGTGTGGTGGTGCATGCCTGTAATCCCAGATACTCGGGAGGCTGAGGCAGGAGAATCACTTGAACTCAGGAGGCAGAGGTTGCAGTGAGCCAAGATCACACCGCTGCACTCCAGCTTGGGTGACAAGAGAGACTCTGTCTCACAAAAAAAAAAGAATACTGCTCAAATAAATTATATTACCTAAATTTTATCAAAATATACACAGAGAGACATATATATTAAAAGATGTTCACTTTATTTTTAAACAAAATGTAGGTTAAAGAAGTATGCACCATATAAAACCATTAAAAATCAAATAATATGAAAAGTTCTGAAACGATAAACACCAAAGTGTTAGCGGTGGTTATGTCTGGGTAATAGTGATATTATTTATGTTCTTTTTGCTTATCTATGTTTTCTAATTTCCTGCAAACAAGAATACACATATAATGAGAAAAAAATAATTTTAATACAAAAGTTTACGATGAACATGTAAATAGTATTAGACACTTTGGCAAGTCCAGAGAGAGAGGATTCAGTAAACCAATCGATTTGTAAAGATCACTAGCAAATGGTCCAGGGACAGGATAGAAACTAGCAAGTAGTAAAGGTAGAAAGAAATGATAAAGACATGGAAATATGAACACAAACTTCTTACTTACGCAATCTAGCTATATGTATTTGCAAAGTAAAACAACTATTTTCTTAATTGGGAAAGGTCTACGACAGGCCAGGAAATCAGGAGACGAGAGTATACAGGAGATGGAAAGCTATATAGGTACAAAATCCCTTATGAGTTGAAAAGAAAAGTTCTACTAGTAGGTTAGCTTTAAAGGACAGTTTTTTTTCACTGAAGATGACATAGGTAGAAGACATAATAATACTGTGATGAATCTGAGTAAGAAAGAAAATGAGTGGTCTTCTAATAAAGTATAATAAGAAGATTTATAAAAAGTGAAGGAATGGGACATGTGATCAGCGGATAAAGGCAGGTAATAGTTTATCAAAATTAGTATGAATGGGATACTTACGCAAAGGATTTTGTCCTTCACTGGCATAATATTCATACATGCCACTTTTAACCAGTGTGTCATAGTGAGGTAAGAAGTCAATTCGTTCTTTCGTAGCTGTCAGTAGTAACTGATTCACTGACTGTAGCAGGTACAAGGTGACTCCATCTTTAACAGTTTCATCTGTAATCAAGAGTGAAAATCGTAAGTGCTAGGTCAGCATCAGAAACTCAATTAACTTATAATTGTGAATATACAAACTCTATCTATGAAATATCTTTAATGATGGGAAAGAAAAACCCCCAATCATCTACCTGTAAACAAAGTCATGTTAAGGATATTAATGAAACAAGCACAAATACTTCCATTCATTTGAAACACTCAATTTTTAATAGGTTAAACTATCACAGGAAATCAGACGAGGATCTAAAATAGAGTGGTGTCAACATGAATGGAGAATGGTTAAATTCAGATGGAATCAGGCATGAAAAACCAGCAGGTCTTGGGAAACTAATTAGGTTAAAAAAAAGATAATGGAATAATCCAAGTTGGTTAGGAAAATTAGCTTCAGAAGATTTGTGCTAGGCAGAATCATCTTCTGTAGCCATAACTGATATCAACTATTTTTCTATAATCAAGCTTGAAAAATAAAACCTCTGTGCAAACTATGCACATATAGCCAGTTTCCTCCCTCATCCCAACAAATTAACAAAAATCATCAACAGATTTAGATGCATATCTAATAAAATAGTTATTGCTATACCATGTACTGGACCTTATTAAATATAAAAGCATGAACTTAGTAACACAGTTTACCTACCAAAATTATCACAGGTAATTTCTTTCCTACTTGTTGTTGTAATAACAAAGTTTTCTTCAGGTGAAATGCCAAGTGTCTATCCAAAATAAGAAATAAAATCACTTATTACACAAAGGAAATAAATGTATTATTCAAATTTATAAAAATATGAAAACATTGACAGTACATAATTTTGTAACAATTACTACACTTATCTAGGAAATATAAAATTCAGTATATTTAAATTTTGCCTTTGCATAATTAATAGAGCATAAATCTATATAAATTACTTAACGAGGTCATTTTTTTCTGCTACTATAAGCAACCTAGGAACACTAGTGATTAGCTAAAACGTTTTGAAAGAGTTTTAACATCATCAGCAGGACCCACCCAGACAAAAGACATAGTATTTCATACCAATGTACAAGTTATCAACTTACTTGGAACAAAGTTTTAACATAACTCATGTTCATATAGACTAGATATTTAAGTATGCAAAAACAAAATAGAAGAAAACAGAAGTTAGCATTTTATAGTACGGAGGGAAGATAGCCATGCTTTGTAAGACATACAAGTCCATTCAAAAGAATAATTTTAAAAATTTAAGCAAATTATAAATTAGAAGGAAACTAGCCGGGCGCAGTAGCTCACGCCTGTAATCCCAGCACTTTGGGAGGCCAAGGCCGTCAGATCACAAGGTCAGGAGTTCGAGACCAGCCCGGCCAACATGGTGAAACCCCGTCTCTACTAAAAATACAAAAATTAGCCGGTGTGGTGGCACACACCTGTAATCTCAGCTACTCAGGAGGCTGAGGCAGGAGAATTGCTTGAACCAGGGAGGTGGAGGTTGCAGTGAGCCAAGATCACACCACTGCATTCCAGCCTGAGCAACAGAACGAGACTCTGTCTCAAAAAAAAAAAAAAAAAAAAAAATTAGAGGGAAATTGCAACAAGAAACAAAAGGTTGGTATCCTTAATAGACAAAAAGCCTTCATAAATCAAGACAAGGATCAACAAAGAGAAAAAGTGAAAAGACAAAAAAATGAAAAGGAGAAAATACAAATGACCAATGAACACATGAACTGTAAAATCTCATTAATCAAAAAATGAGAATTAGAAAAGCGGTTAACATTTTCATTTACATTAAAATTAAAAGATACATGCTCTGTCTAAAATGAAACAACACAGCAATATACAGTTAAGAGAAAAGGCTTCTGGTTCAGGTAGTAATGGACTAAAGATTAACATTCTTATTGAAAACAACTAAAAAATCTAAACTAGTGATACTCAAATCCTCAAAAATGATATTAATAAAAACCATTATTGTTCACCACTGGAATGAGCTAGGGCACCAACTTCTTACTCTGAACACTGACAAATTAAAGGGAAAGAACAAATTATTTACACTGCTTTTCTTGTATCAAAAGCATTTCAGGGTAACGAAAATAGCTCTAGCTGATGATGCAATGTTGTTCTTTAAAGAATTCCAGCTAATAAATACAGGAGGAGTGGCAAATCAGATCAAAACCTCCTTATGAAGGCATCCTGCTGAAATCACGTGAATCCCAAGATTTTAATGTTAGCATTGCTATGACTGGGTGAAACACCCACGCATCATGTGCCTCCCAATGTAATGCCATATGAAGTATCAGTACTACCTACAAAGTAGTATTTGCCTCCTGACCCCAAAGAAGTTCAACCTAAATCAAATCAAGCCTTTAAAGCTAACTTCTAGTTTACAGAATATATACGGAGATAAAACAAATTAAGTAACATAGAAAAACAGCACAAACAAATCCATAATGTGGAATATTAAAGACCTAGTTGATTTCTTCAAGAGGTCAACTGCAGGAAAACTAAAGAGCCTGGGGCAAGAGGAATTTGCTCAAATGCTTTAAATTGAAAATAATTAGGAAACACAAAAAAACCAGTTTAACGTGAGAACTACGGCAGATCCTGATTTAAACCAACTATAAAAAGATACTTTTAAACATTCAGAGAACTCAATATGGACAGGGACATTAGATAATATTAAAAATGCTTAATTTTAATGGTTTGATAATACATATCCATGCTGAAGTATATGGGGTGAAATGACCTAAGACTTAGAATATGCCTTAAATACATTACAAAAGACAAAAATGCTAGTGTGGTAAATTCCTGTTAACTTGAATCTGGATGAGTACACTAGGGTTCATAACATGATTCTCTCTTTGTATGTGTCCGAAGCTTTTCATAAGAAAATTTCTACTTTAAAATATCCTGGAATAGACCAGTGGAAAAGAATAGAGGGCCCTAAAACAGGTCCACATATATATGCATGGAGAGCCTAGCAAACAGGAGAGGTGACATTACAAATTGGTGGGGAAAGAATAAATTATCCAATGAATGATATTAAGACAACTAGTTGTCTCAACATGGAAACAGATAAAATCCGCACCTTAACTTACACAAAATAAACTCCAGGAGAATTAAAGCAGCTGTACTTTAGCCCAAAATTGTAAAAGGAAACATAAGGAAATAATTTTGAGTGAACATAAAGGGATTTCTGAAAAGGTACAAACAGTGAGCCAGGCACAGTGGTTCACAGCTGCAATCCCAGCACTTTGGGAGGCCAAGGTGGGTGGATTGCTTGAGCTCAGGAGTTGGAGACCAGTCTGGGCAATGTGGTAAAAATGGAAAAAAATGTGGTAAAAATGGAAAAAAAATAAATAAATAACGGCATGGTGGTACACACGTGTAGTCACAGCCACTCAAAGAGGCTAAAGTTGGAGGATCCCCTGAGCCTAGGAGGCCGAGGCTGCAGTGAGCCGTGATCACACACTACTGCACTCCAGCTTGGGTGACTTCTGAGTGAGACCCTGTCTCAAAAGATGCAAATAGCACAAGTCATAAAGAAAAAGACCCAGACAACATAAAAAGATCAACATCACTAGTTATCAGAGAAATTAATATCACTTATTCTCATCAGGTAGGCAAAAATGTTAAATTCCGAGCCCATCAAGTGTAGGCCTCTGTACAGAGAAATGCACTGCTGATATGACTGAAAAAAAGTCAAACGTAAAGAAAGTAATTAATTTGGCATACTTTAGTAAACTTAAAAGATACTCATATTCCATGCAATTCCACCCTAGAAAAATAAAGCCATAAACATAAACTGACTGGGAAGATTCTATTTGTTTAACAGAGACAAAATCTGACCCTACAGATTTTTATTAAGTTTTATATAACCATGACAGTGGTGTATTTTTTAATTCATTACTACTTTTTTATTTCTATGATGTCCCAATTTTTTTTTGTTTGTTTGTTTTTTGGGTTTTTTGTTGTTGTTGTCACTGTTGTTGAGACGGAGTCTCGCTCTGTTGCCCAGACTGGAGTGCAATGGCACGATCTCAGCTCACTGCAAGCTCCGCCTCCCAGGTTCACACCATTCTCCTGCCTCAGCCTTTCAAGTAGCTGGGACTACAGGCGTGCGCCACCACACCTGGCTAATTTTTGTATTTTTAGTAGAGACAGAGTTTCACCATGTTGGTCAGGCTGGTCTCAAACTCCTGACCTCAGGTGATCCGCCTGCCTCAGCCTCCCAAAGTGCTGGGATTAGAGTCGTGAGCCACCAGGCCTGGCCAATGTCCCACTTGTTATATCATATAATTATGCATCCTGCAGAACAAAATGTGCTTTTATAGGTACTGAAAAACTATGTGCAAATAAATGATTTTTTTAAGACCTATGTTCACCTACAAAGTATTTCTATCTAATTATTCCATATAATCCCACATAAGTCTAATTTTTTTTTATTTTTTAATGTTTGAGTACTTTTCTAGGATAATTGCATATAATAGTTCATTTAGCCTTCACTAACTACATAGAAGACTCCCCCTATTTCCCAGCTGTCAAATTATCTACAGATAGGAATGCTAGCACCTTATTCTCTTCTTCAAACATTGACAACTGTGTTATCATTCCTGACCATCTAATTGTATCCAGTTTTGCCTGTATTTTCCTGCACTGGACCAAAGAGTTCATTTTCTTCTGATTTTTAATCCACATTAAAAACCCACAGATTTTTAATCCATAAAAACCCACAGATTTTTAGTCTATAAATCTATTATAATTCAATTAAGACACATAAAATATCTTTTTTTTTTTTAAGTTCCTGGATATATGTGCAGAACATACAGGTTTGTTACACAGATATACATGTGCCATGGTGGTTTGCCGCATCTATCAACCCATTATCTAGGTTTTAAGCCCCACATACGTTAGGTATTTGTCCTAATGCTCTCCCTCCCCTTGCCTCCTACTCTACAACAGGTCCTGGTGTGTGATGTTCCCCTCCCTATGTCCATGTGTTCTCATTGTTCAACTCCCACTTAAGAGAGAGAACACGCAGTGTTTGGTTTGCTGTTCCTGTGTTAGTTTGCTGAGAATGATGGCTTCCAGCTTCATCCATGTTCCTGCAAAGGACATGATCTCATTTCTTTTTATGGCTGCACAGTATTCCATGGTGTCTATGTGCTACATTATCTTTATCCAGTTGATCATCAATAGGCATTTGGGTTGGTTCCAAGTCTTTACTATTGTAAATAGTGCGGCAATAAACTTTAAAATTAATCCATAATAAAAATCCATGGTTTTTAATCCACATCAAAAATCCACATTAAATATCCATGGATTTTTCATCCATATTAAATATCCATGGATTTTTCACGGGGCACAGTGGCTCATGCCTGTAATCCCAGCACTTTGGGAGGCCGAGGTGGGTGGATCACCTGAGATCAGGAGTTCCAGACCACCCTGGCCAACATGGTAAAACCCCATCTCTACTAAAAACACAAAAATTAGCTGGGCATGATAGCTGGTGCCTGTAATCCCAGCTATTCGGGAGGCTGAAGCAGGAGAATCGCCTGAACTTGGGAGGCGGAGGTTACAGTAAGCCAAGATTGCACCATTGCACTCCAGCCTGGGTGACAAGAGCAAAACTCCATCTCAAAAAAAAAAAAAAAAAAAACATGGATTTTTAATATATAAATCTATTATTATTTAAGACACACAAACTATTTGTTTTCCCTGCTTCATCTATAAAAATTATTTCTTGAATTCACAATTTTTCTAAGTATTTTATTTTATTATTGTTTGTTTGTTTTTTGAGACAGAGTCTAGCTCTGCCACCCAGACTAGAGTGCAGTGGTGTGTTCTCGGCTCACTGCAACTTCCGACTCCCGGGTTCCAGTGATTCTCCCTGCCTTAGCCTCTCGAGTAGCTGGGATTACAGGCACCCCACCAGATCCAGCTAGTTTTTGTATTTTTAGTAGAGACGGGGTTTCACCATGTTGGCCAGGCTGATCTCTAATTCCTGACCTCAGGTGATCCGCCCGCCTCGGCCTCCCAAAGTGTTGGGATTACAGGCGTAAGCCACCATGCCAGCCCCAACATCTCTTAAATATTTAAGGACCAACTGACTTGCAGTGTGTGAAATGATTACCTACCAAAATGATCAGTTAATTTTATTTTAAAAATTATTTTCTTTCACTATCTCTGAACAACAGGTAATTTTCATCCATGGATTAGTCAGAAACTACATACCTTAATTAGCATTGCTCTGAAACTCTGCAAACTAGCCAGCTTTTAATGTGGCTCCATTATATTTCGTTCCCCTACTATGGCACTTGCTACGCAATTGTTTTTTGCTTTTTTTTTTCCCCAAAATATCAGGTTTATTGTAGAAATTGATGAGTAAATCTTACATTAAAATACAAAGCACCTAGAATATAGCCGCAAAACAAAAAACACTGGAGCCACACAAAGGAAAAAGTAGACAACTTCTTCAAATGGGTGGTGGGGGGATATGCACACATGGGGCTTAATATCTGGGCATATTTAAGGACTAACCAAATGAGTCATCTTCTAATCGTTGATTCTGCAAGGCCATAAGGGCTCAAGTGAGTCAACAGCTGCTTATCAGAGGTCTAAGGGCTTCTTGCAGATTTGTCCTTTCCATTTCTTCCCTCTCCTTTTCCATGAGGTGAACTTTATTCAAATAACAATTTAGAGCCCGGCGTGGTGGCTCACACCTGTAATCCCAGGACTTTGGGAGGCCAAGGCAGGTGGATCACCTGAGGTCAGGAGTTCAAGATCAGCTTGGCCAACGTGGCAAAACCCCATCTCTACTAAAAGTATAAAAATTAGCCAGGCGTGGTGGCAGGCACCTGTAATCCCAGCTACTCAGGAGGCCGAGGCAGGAGAATCACTTGAACCTGGGAGACACAGGTTGCAGTGAGCCAAGATGGCGCCACCACACTCCAGCACGGGTGAGAGCGAGACTCTGTCTCAAAAAAACATAAATAAATAAATAAGTTTAGGATCATCCATAATAGTGCCTGACACTACAAACATTTATTGGTTTAATTTACATTTTAACAAAAACTTTAGTATATTATTTTGTCTCTTCCCCTAGGGACAAAAGTGATGATTCTAATAAAGAGTGTGGAGTAGTGAAAAAGAAGAAAAGAAAAAAAAAAAAAAATATATATATATATATATATATATATATATATATATATATATATGCGCTTTGGAATCAAACTGACCTAAATTCCAAACCCAGTTTCACTGCTTGTTGACCATGTAATCTCAGATTATTAATTCAATGACTTAATTCAATTCTTCGAGTACGTAATGGAGACAAAGTTATGGGATCAGAGGCGTAATCTAATAATGCTTAAAAGAAGTCTAACAACAAAAAAGTTAGCCTTCCCAGCCTTCTTTTTTCTTACTAGTTGGTTCCTCTCATTTTTAACTAAATTTAAAATGTTTTCTAGCAGGATAAAGTGGGAGGAAGGAGGAAAATAATTAGTTAAAAGAAATATTTTCCTTGGTTTTCCAGTTGAAATATTGAAGGAAGGAATAAATACATCTGTTCCCTACAACAAAGAATGCCATTTGAGGAGTATAACAGAACGAACAGAGGTTCTGGGTTTGAATACTAACTTGAGTTTTACTATCTGAGTAATGAGTCACCATCTCCAAGACTGTGTTTATACTCCTGTAATAATAGGCCACTTATACTTCCTCTATTTATCTAAGAGTTACCGAGACATCTTACAAGAAAAAAGAGGGAAATAGTGCATTTCTAGAGGAAGGGTAAAGTAGCAAAACATTTTCAAAAAGCAATTTTAAAATACGAAACAAGAGCTTTAAAGATATGTCTCATCTTTGATCCAGTTCTAAGATTTCAAACTAAGCAAGCAATAATAAAGACATAAAAGGCTATGTATTGGCCGGGCGCGGTGGCTCAAGCCTGTAATCCCAGCACTTTGGGAGGCCGAGACGGGCGGATCATGAGGTCAGGAGATTGAGACCATCCTGGCTAACACGGTGAAACCCCGTCTCTACTAAAAAATACAAAAAAAACTAGCCGGGTGAGGTGGCGGGCGCCTGTAGTCCCAGCTACTCGGGAGGCTGAGGCAGGAGAATGGCGTGGACCTGGGAGGCGGAGCTTGCAGTGAGCTGAGATCCGGCCACTGCACTCCAGCCTGGGAGACAGAGCGAGACTCCGTCTCAAAAAAAAAAAAAAAAAAAAGGCTATGTATTAAAAGACGTTTTTCCGCCGGGTGCAGGGGCTCACACCAGTAATCCCAGCACTTCGGGAGGCAGGTGGACCTCTTGAGCCCATGAGGTCGAGACGAGCCTGGGCAACACAGCAAAAACCCCGTATGTACGAAAAATACGAAAAAAAAAAAATAGCTGGGCGTGGTGGCTACTTGGGAGACTGAGGTGGGAGGATCACCTGAGCCCGGGCATATCTGAGCCTGGGAAAATATTCATTATAGCTAAAATGAATTAGTTAAAATAAAAAAAATTAAAAGTAATGTAAACTTCAACAGAAAGGAGAGATTTGGTTACGTAAATAGTGGTAGCAAATGGACTATTTCAAATTTTGACTTGAAGACCTACATTAAAAGACACTTCTGACACTATTAAGTGAAAAAATTAAAGAATATAAAACACAGATTTTAGTAATTTAAAAAATGGAGTGTGAAGGAGGAGGAAGGCTGAGAAGAGTACTCTCAGGTGCTAAGAGTAGTCATACAGCAGTTTTACAGCGAGTAAAATATTTACTTTCTCCCCCCCGTCCATATTTTCTTTACTGATATTTTTACAATAAACATAATAAACGTAAAAAGTTTCCTTTTTGTAGAATGGTTCTGAATACAAAACATTCAACAAAAAAGAGCATTCATTCACCTTTCAAACACAAAGGGAATCTACTACATTCAGGCACAGAATTAACTTGAGTAGATAGGTTTTTGTCTTCATTCATTTATCCATTCTAATCTGGGCATTTACAATGTGGCAGGCACAGTTCTAGACGCTGGGACTACAGCTGTGAACAAAAGAAAGGCCTTACGTCCCAAATCGTTTGCATTCTACGGATCATAATTTCAATTATTTCAGCAACCATACAGTTATATGGTCTAGAACATTTCTAAACTTATCAGCCTCAAGACAAAACACCGCTTCAAAGTTCTTTTTTTTCTTTGGAAGCTAAGTGTTCTTAACAGCTTAAAAAGGGACCTCATGTGGTTAATTCAGAGCATGACAATATTCCTTCTTCTAAGCTCAGGCAATGCCACCACCTCATATCTATAAAGTACATCACAGTTTAAAGCAGATTTCCCTACACGTTGATTTTTAAAGCAAACCAATACACGGGGTAGATACGTTCTCTGGTGTCCCGCAGACACCCACACCAACCTCTGACTCGGTTTAGGAATTCCCAAGGCTCAGGGCTCAGCACATCAGAAGGCCAGCTCTACCTGCAGAGCTGACCTGGACAAGTGTCTCCGTGCGGAAGGACTCCCCTCCACCCCGCCCCGCCCCAGAAGGACCTGCAACCTTGACAGGGCAACCCGGGGACACCCCGCATCATCTAACGAACTCGGGGGAGATCGACTCCAGGAATTTCACAACTTCTCACCGTCGCAACACTCACAGCAGAGCCCCTGGGTGTTAACTCCCTTCTCTCGTTTTAAAAAAGTTACAAAGTAAAAACAGACACCAACGGCTTTCCCTAGACTGCAGGGCCGCGATCCGGCTAAGCGCGCCCAGGGCCCACACACGCTGAGGTCTCAACCCGGGGCCGCAAGGCCTCCCGTGGAAGGAGCGGAGGCAGAGGGAAGGCCACGGAGGAGCCGGCTCTGCACTCCGAGGCCCGGGCCAGGGCCCGCCCGACGCGTCCGGCCACCAGGTCACGGACATGGCGGGCACCTGGGAGGGAGAAGCCAAGGCCGCAGGACCAGGACCGGGTGACAGGTTTATTGCCCTCGGTGAGCAAGTTGAGTTTCTCGTCACGCTCCCACCCCCAGGTCTACACGCACATCCCTTCCTCGCCCCTCCGCGTACCTGACACACAGAGGCGCGAAATCCCGCGTAGTCCGAGCGCTCCCCGACCTGCAGAGACCGGTCCCCGAGCTCGGACTCCTTTTCGCGCCGGTCAAACAAGTACACCGTCCTGTGGCCGACGCCTCCGCCATCCTCCTTAGTCCCCACAGAGGCCCCGCCGGGCCCGCCGCCGTCCGCCGCTGCCATATTGGGGAGAAGGAGAAAAGACAGCGATGCCGGCCGCCGCCAGGCTCAGGGCTGAGGTGCGCGCTCCGCGCGGCGCCTCAGCTCCAGCTCCCAGGGCGGCTCGAGGCCTCGGCCCGGCGCGCTGCAGCTCCTCCTCAGCGGCGGCGGCCGAGCAGCGGCAGGCGCGAGGATCACCCGGGAACCGATTCAAACGCGCTCCTGCCCGTGCACCACGTCACTTCCGCGCCCCGCCACTCCTGAGGAGAAGGGGACGCGCGGCGCGCTCCTCACCGGGCCCGGGCCCAGCGCCTATCGCCGCCTACGCGAGCCTCCCGGTGCGACCTGCGACCAGAGCCGCCGCCGGGACTGTGGCGCAGGAGGAAGAGGGGTGGCGGGTGGCGGGCGGCAGCGAGGGGGCGGAGCGAATCCAGCAGGCCGCGCGGGCAGGGGCGGGGCTTCTCCGCGCGCGCGCCCGGGGCCCGCCTCCTCGGTCCTCGCGGAGTTGGAGGGAGGCTGAGTCCTTCGCGGGCGCCTGCGCCCTGCGGGTTGTCCTCAGAAGCCGAGCCTGGAGAGCAGGGCTCGGGGGCAGAGGGGGAATCTCCCGAAGAGCTGTGTTCTTTCGGCGGAAAGGGCCCCGCTGGCTTCCCGCCTCGCCATGATCCTGACTGAGCTTATAGGTGTCGAGCTCGCGGCGCCGCGCCGGCTGGCTAAGCCCTCTGCGGCTGGGTCGCGTGGACGCGGTGGCGGGAAGCTTCAGGCCCGCGGTACTCGCCGGGTGCAGAGTCCCCCGAAGCGAGCACCGCGAAGCTGGTCCGTGAGAACGTCAGAAGGGCACTCTGTGACGTCACAGCGTCCCCGCCCGCACCCTCTGGGGTCTCTGGAGCGCCGACGGCATTCGGGGTGCGGGGGTGACTCCAGTGCCCTAGTTTTCTCGCTACCTGCGCTTCGCGGTCTCCCACGTACCTGTAAATTGTGAAAGAATCCACGCCACAGTTACCGGGGTTAAATTAGATCTTCGCAAAATTCATAAGGCCTAATGCGTTTTCAATAAAAGCCTTTAATCGTCATTACTGGGCAACGTTTCTTTGACTATCCTTATCATGGGCAGGTAGTGCCCTAACTCAACAAATAAAATGCCATTGTTAGAAGACTAGGTTTACTCTCCAATTCTTAGAAGTCGTGAGTATTGTATACTTGAGAGTGATATGTAAATTCAGAAACCCAAAGGTTTCTGGGTTTTTCAAATCCCAGACTATAAGCCTGGATAATAGTGCGTTTTCTGTTTTACTAGGTTTGCTAAAACGTTGTATGGACAGACTTACAGGTAAAAGTGTTATGTTAGAAACCTAGATTTGCTTGTTGATGTCAAGACGTTTCAAGGTCGTGGCGTATGTATGTATAATTGACTACACATATGCTAGAGGTAGACACCAATTGGAACGAAATTGTGAAGGCGTGTTTGGGGAACATAAATCGTTTGGCTAGAAGTGGGGAAAACTGAGCGGTAGATGGTGGAAGATAAAATTGGAAAGACAAATTGTGGCCAAATGATGTGTATGTTCCTTAAGGTGGAGGTGGAGGAAGAGAAAACAAAAAAGTAATCCCTGATTCTAATGGGATTTCTTTGAAGTCTGATGTTTTATTTACCTTTCAAATTCATGCGAATGTCTCTTTCTATTCCTTTATATAGCGGTGTTTGAGTTAAATGACTCAAAGAAAAACACAGATTGTTTTTCTAATTCTTAGTTAATGGGTAAGATGAATTGCCTCTCTACTTCAGCAAATTGAGATTAGAGCTGGAGGTTCGTCATCAGGGCAATTTCTCATTTCTCTGTAATACCAAATTATACAAGCACACCTCTTTCATGTCTTTAGAAGAGATTTCAGGATCATCTCTAAGAGATTTTTTTTTTAATGGTGCCAGAGAAGTGTACTGCAGTATTATGGGCAGCTCTTAGTGGTAACATTGATGTCTTATCTTGTTGACAGATCGAGTCTGAATCAGTTTATTAATGGCAGTATGGCATCACTTTTGTTCTCAGAATATCAAACAATTTTTTTATCAAAGAAAGATGATGAGTTTGTTATTTATTTAATTTTCATCACAAGTAAATAAAAGCGTTTGAAATGACCCAGTTCCTTAATTAGTTCTCTTCAATTGACTCTTAATTTTTATTTTAATTAGCTATCTTTCTACAGAGTAAAATATTTAAGTGGCCTTGTATCATTTATTGCTACATAACAAACTTCCCCCAAATTTAGTGGTCCCTGAAGAAGTTCCCCATTCCCTTCCTCCTTGGATTTAGCTCAAGCGTCAGTCAGGCAGCACAGACCCAGACCAGGTGCAGCTCAGAGGTGGTGAACAATGGCCCTTCATGTCTGCAATTAAAAATGGCCTCCAGTAAAACTACAGTCGTCCTTTGGTATCCTTGTGAAATTGGTTTCTAGACCAGGACCCCCATGGATAGGAAAATCCAAGGCTGCTCAAGTCCCTCATATAAAATGGTGAAGTATTTGCATACAACCTACAGACATTCTCCTGCATACTTTAAATCATGTCTAGATTACTTATAATACCTAATACAATATAAATGCTATGTAAATGGGTTGTTATACTGTATTGTTTTTCATTTGGATTTTTTGTTGTTTTATTGTGATTTTAAAATATGTTCTATCCTCAGTTGATAGAATCCAGGCAGGCGGAACCTAAGGATACTGAGGGCCACAGTACATTGCAAAAAAAAAAAAAAAAAAGGGACAAAAGACTTAATGGAAAAGGTATAAAAAAGCTGATGGAGCAGAGCCTGAGGATTTTATGGTGGAAAAAGTACTACACCAAGGTGTGGTGAATGGGAAGGTAGAATATTCCCTGAAACGGAATGGATTTACACTTGCTGACAATAATTGAGAACCTGAAGAAAACTTAGATTTTCCTAATTGAACTATTTCTTAATCCTCAAAAAAACTGGTAAAGGAAAAGATAGTACAAAAAGAAAATCTTTATCCGATAGTGAATCTGATGACAGCAGGTGAAAGGGATGCTACTGAAAAACCAGGGGACTCTTGATCCTAAGCAAACAATTGGTGCCACAGACTGCAGTGAAGAATTAATGTTTCTAACGGAATGGAAAGATTCCGATGAGGCCAACGCGGTGCTGGCAAAGAGGCAAACACGAAGTGTCCTCAAATTGCAAATTATTTTTATGAAGAGAGACTAACTTGGCATTCCTGTCCAGAAGATGAAACTCAAAAATTGTTGCACTGCAGTATACTGCCATATAGTGTGTGTGTGCGTGTGTAAAACCTAGGTCTTGGTTTTCTTATTAGTGTGAAATATTCTATTTTTTTAAAAAATAGAGATAGAGCCGGGCGCGGTGGCTCAAGCCTGTAATCCCAGCACTTTGGGAGGCCGAGGCGGGCGGATCACAAGGTCAGGAGATCGAGACCACAGTGAAACCCCGTCTCTACTAAAAATACAAAAAAATTAGCCGGGCGCGGTGGTGGGCGCCTGTAGTCCCAGCTACTCAGGAGGCTGAGGCAGGAGAATGGCGGGAACCCGGGAGGCGGAGCTTGCAGTGAGCCGAGATCGCGCCACTGCACTCCAGCCTGGGCAACAGCGTGAGACTCCGTCTCAAAAAAAAAAAAAAAAAAAAATAGAGATAGAGTCTCACTATGTTGCCCAGGTTGGTCTCAAACTCTGGGCTCAAGTGATTCTCCTGCCTTGGCTTCCCAAAAGTGCTGGGACTACAGATATGAGCCACCGTGCCCAACCAGCTGTTTTCTAATGAAATCTATTTTCTACTTCAAAATCTTGTTTTGAAGTAGAATCGAGAGAGTTTTTGGGGTTTGTTTTGGGGATTTGTTGGGGGTTTTTCATCAATAGCACTTGTAACTTTTGAACATGTAGAAAAAAGCTTTCTGTAGCTGCTTTGTTTACCAGAAAAGAATATTTGATTCCATGGTATATTATTTCCTCTGCATTGGAGAACAGCTTTTCTAAATGTTGGGAACAGTTTCCATAATCGTTACTCAATCATAACTTGTGTTTAACCTATAATGCCTAAAGCTATTCTGAATTTTTGTTTGTTTGTGTATATGTAAATACATACATACATAGTTGTGGTTTTGTTTTTTACATGACCTAAGAAATGGCATTTCACAATCATGGGTAAATTCAAGTTTTCTTCTGGAATGCCATCATTCTAAGCAGCCCAAGGAATAGATCACCTTAAGTTAAAATTTTTCCTAAAGCCACAATGTTTCAAATTGAATAATTTGTAATTAATTGGCCAAGTTAAATGCAATGTAAACAATTTAAATTGTACAATTTAAAGAAGCCAAATCAGAGCCGGGTGTGGTGGCTCATGCCTGTAATCCCAGCACTTTGGGAGGCCAGGCGGGCTGATCACCTGAGGTCGGGAGTTCAAGACCAGCCTGACCAACATGGAGAAACCCCATCTCCCCTAAAAATACTAAATTAGCCGGGCATGGTGGTGCATGCCTGTAATCTTAGCTACTTGGGAGGCTGAGGCAGGAGAACTACTTGAACCCGGGAGGCAGAGGTTGCGGTGAACTGAGATCGCACCATTGCACTCCAGGCTGGGCAATAAGAGCAAAACTCCTTCTCAAAAAAAGGAAGCCAAGTCAGAGTCTATAATGTCTACAGCTATAGTCATATAAAAGCAACAGTTTATTTGCAAAACCTTCTAAAAGGAGAAATTTTATCACCAACAACCTCCCTACTCAGATGAGGAAACCAGACAGATACTGATGTGGCTTTTTTTTTTTAGACTGTCTTGTAATGTTGCCAAGACTGGTGTGCTATGGTACAGTTATAGCTAACTGCAGCCTTGAACTCCTGGGTTCAAGCAATCCTTCCGCCTCAGCCTCCCAAGTAGCTAGGACTACAGGCACATGCCACCACACCCAGCTAATTTTAAAATTTCTTTGTAGAGATAGGGTCTTGCTTTCTTTTCCAAGCTGCTCTTGAACTGTCGGCCTTGAGCGACCCTCCCACCTCAGCTTCCCAAAGTGCTGGGATTGCAGACATAAACCACCACTCTCAGTCCCGTACTGGTGTGTTTTAATTAGTCAAGCAAGGCTTAGCTAAGTGGGCATTTAAAGACTCCTTCTGAAGAGCCATTTCTTTACAAACAGTTGAAAATCTTATGCTATATTGGCCAAAAGGTCATAATTCATGGAATGTCTTTGTTCATGAAACTAAATAGATGGTTAGAGATGTTTAAGACCTGGTGGCATACATGGGTGAACAATTGCAATGTAAACTCTTGACTTGCATGCTTTTTCTTTACCTCAACCCACTGATTACATGTAGGCTCAATCATTTCACTATTTAGGTTACTGGTTCAGAAGAAGCCAGGAAAAACAATAACACTATAGTAATAAGAATGTTGCCTGACTGTGTATTGCTTACTTTCTTGTAGATACTGCTGAATAGCGATCAATACGTAGCTTTATATTTTTAAAAATAAATGACTTAGTGGCTTAAATAGGAATCATTTATTTGCTTGTGATCGACCATTTGGGCTAAGCTCAGCTGAACAGATCTTCTGCTGGCCTCACTTGAGATCACTTCAGCTTCAGTCAGCTGGTAACTTCACCAAGGCTGGATGGCTCACAATGGCCTCACTCACATGGCTGGCAGCTGAGGCTGTTGGTTAGAGCGCCTCAATTTTCCTCTAGTAGGCATCTTTAATAGCATAGCTTGGTTTCTTACTTGGTTGTCACAGCATTCCAAAAGAAAAGGCTCCGGTGTGCAAGTGCTTACGGAAGCTCTGCTTGCATTACATTTTCTTTCTTTCTTTCTTTCTTTTTTTTTTTTTTTTGAGACAGAGTCCCACTGTGTCACTCAGGCTGGAGTGCAGTGCGCAGTCTCAGCTCACTGCAGCCCCTGTCTCCTGAGTTCAAACAATTCTTCCACCTCAGCCTCCTTAGTAGCTGAGAGTATAGGTGTGCGCCACCATGCCGGGCTAATTTTTGTATTTTTAGTAGAGATGAGAGTTCACCACGTTGGCCAGGCTGGTCTCCAACTCTGATCCACCCACTTCAGCCTCCCAAAATGCTGGGATTACAGGTGTGAGCCACTGCACCCAGTCTGCATCACGTTTTCTTTCTTTTTTTTTTTTTGATTGATATGAAGTCTCACTCTTGTCCCCAGGCTGGAGTACAATGGCGTGATCTCCGCTCCCTGCAACCTCCACCTCCCGGGTTCAAGTGATTCTCCTGCCTCAGCCTCCCTAGTAGCTGGGATTACAGGTGTGTGCCACCATTCCTGGCTAATTTTTGTGTTTTTAGTAGAGACAGGGTTTTACCATGTTGGCCAGGCAGGTCTCGAACTCCTGACCTCAGGTGATCCGCCTGCCTTGGCCTCCCAAAGTGTTGGGATTACAGGTGTGAGCCACTGTGCCTGGCCTACATTTTCTAATGTCCCACTGGCCAAAGCTAGTCATGCAGCCAAACCCCTGTGTCATCCACTCCCACAACAGAGGTAGGCTTACAAAAATCCCGATAGGGAGAATAGCGCTGTATCTGTATGTTGAAATGAGACGAGTTTGAAAAAGTATTGCAGATATATGGTAGCTGGCAAAAAGAAGGAAAATAAAAAGCAGTCTTGTTAGGATTTGCTGATGAGATTAAGTTTCCCCCAAATAAAAATACCTAGAAAATTGTGCTTGCTTTGGCAGCACATATACTAAAATGGGAATGATACAGAGAAGATTAGCATGGCCGCTGCACTAGAATGACACACAAATTCCTGAAACATTCTGTATTATAAAAAAATAAACATACCTAGAAAATAAAGGGCAAGTGCCGGGCGTAGTGGCTTACGCCTGTAATACCAGCACTTTGGGAGGCCGAGACGGGCAGATCACGAGTTCAAGAGATCAAGAGCATCCTGGGCAACATGGTGAAACCCCGTCTGTACTAAAAATACAAAAATTAGCTGGGCATGGTTCATGCTCCTGTAGTCCCAGCTACTCGGGAGAATTGCTTGAACCTGCGAGGCACAGGTTGCAGTGAGCTGAGATCGTGCCACTGCATTCCAGCCTAGCGACAGAGCGAGACTCTGTCTCTAAATAAATAAATAAATAAATACAAAGAAGGGCAAGGAAAGTGATTTTGGGGGGTTATTTTTTATTTTGCCCATTTGTGGGGAATTCTACAGGATGAAAGTGATTTTTTTAATACCTCTATCTTCTCAAATTTATTTATTTTTATTATTTCTGGAGAGATAAGAACAATTTTAGTGACATGAATTCAGGTTTTGCCAGTTAAAATACTTTCTGTAATGTGATTTGTGACTTTGAGCCCCAAATCTACCAAACTGGTAGAGAATATTTTGGAGTTCCTTCATTCCCAGTTTTTGTTTGTTTTTGTTTTTGAGAAAGGGTCTCATTCTGTCTCTCAGGCTGGAGTGCAGTGTCACGATCTCAGCTCACTGCAGCCTCTACTTCCTGGGTTCAAACCATCCTCCCACCTCAGCCTCCGGAGTAGCTGGGACCACAGTTGTGCACAACCATGCCCATCTAATTTTTGTGTTTTTTGTAGAGATGGGTTTTCACCATGTTGTCTAGGCTGGTCTTGAACTCCTGAGCTCAAGTGAGCCAACCACCTCAGCCTCCCAAAATGCTGGGATTACAGGCATGAGCTGCTGTGCCCAGCCTCATTCCCAATTTTAACAAGTTCAATGCTCTGGGTGGTAGGGGTAGAGGCTCATCCATGTCTACGAGGCGGCCTCTTTAGATCTAGTGGCTTCTTGCTGCTTTTGTGCTGCTTGGGACATAGGCACCATTTACAAGGGTTATTTTTAATTCCATTTGCCTATATATACCTGTAGTATTTGGGGGAGGGGAGAACCAGGCTATTTTACCACCCTACAGGAAATCTCTTTTTTAATCTGGATAAAATCCTTTGCCTTTCTCTTCCTTCAAGGCAGTCTATCAATGCCTATAAATCCTTTTCTCAGCCAGGTGTGGTAGCTCATGCCTGTAATCCCAGCACTTTGGGATACTGAGGTGGGTGGATCACCTGAGGTCAGGAATTTGAGACCATCCTGGCCAACATGGCGAAACCCCATCTCTACTAAATTAAAAATTAGCCAGTTGTAGTGGTGCATGCCTGTAGTCCCAGCTAATCAAGAGGCTGAGGCAGGAGAATTGCTTGAACCAGGGAGGCAGAGAGGTTGCGGTGAGCCGAGATCGTGCCACTGCACTTCTGCCTGGGGACAGAGCCAGACTCCGTCTCAAAAAACAAACAAAAAGGCCGGGCGCGGTGGCTCAAGCCTGTAATCCCAGCACTTTGGGAGGCCGAGATGGGCGGATCACGAGGTCAGGAGATCGAGAGACGATCCCGGCTAACACGGTGAAACCCCGTCTCTACTAAAAAAATACAAAAAAATAGCCGGGCGAGGTGGCGGGCGCCTGTAGTCCCAGCTACTCGGGAGGCTGAGGCAGGAGAATGGCGTAAACCCGGGAGGCGGAGCTTGCAGTGAGCTGAGATCCGGCCACTGCACTCCAGCCTGGGTGACAGAGCAAGACTCTGTCTCAAAAAAAAACAAACAAACAAAAAAAAAAAAAAAAAAAAAGGCACAAGCCATGAATAAGCATTTCATAGAAGAGGAAACACAATTAGGAAATAAACACATGAAAAGGTGCTCAATCTTTTTTTTTTTTTTTTTTTGAGACAGAGTCTTGCTCTGTCATCCAGGCTGGAGTGCAATAGTGTAATCTCGGCTTACTGCAACTTCCGCAGTTGAAAAAAAAATGTTTTCATTACCTGTTTGATTATGCTTTTATTTTGATTGTAAAGCACTGATTATTTTTCCTTCAAAAATCCATGTAGTTAGGCCAAGGCGGGCAGATCACCTGAGGTCGGGAGTTCAAGACCAGTCTGACCAACATGGAGAAACTCCATCTCTACTAAAAACACAAAATTAGCCGGGCGTGGTGGCACATGCCTGTAATCTCAGCTACTCCCGAGGCTGAGGAAAGAGAATCGCTTGAACCTGGGAGGAAACCCTAATTGTGTCTCCTCTTCTATGTGGTTGCAGTGAGCTGAGATCACGCCATTGCACTCCAGCCTGGACAACAGTAGGAGACTCTGTCTCAAAAAAAAAAAAAAAAAAAAAAAATTCCATGTAGTTGATTTTTTCCTTATATATGAAAAATGGTACTTAGAATTTATTGAGTTCTTAAGCCGCCAGTACCTCTGCAAACACTTTACATTTTCTTGTTCAGTCTGTTTCTACATTTTTAGATCATGAAATATTTCATACATACAAGAGTATACATAATCTAAGTGTCTCTGAAAAGACAAACACATCTGTAGCTACCATTAACTTAAAAAAAAGAGCATTACTGATACTTTAAAGGCCCCAGTAAGCCCCTTCCAAAATGACATCTCTCTACTACTGAAGTATTCTCTATTCTGAAATTTGTTGGTATTTGTTTTCCTTCTGTTTGTAATAAATTATTTAGTTTTTGAGTTTTTGAACTATGTGTACATATATACATTCTTCTGCTCATTTTTTGTTCATATTTGTAAGATTCAATAATGTTGCTGCAAGTTACTGTAGTTCATTCTTTTTTTATTCTGTTTTACTGTTATATAGTATTTCTTGATATGAGTACACCACTGTTTTTCCATTCTCCTATCAATGAACATTTAAATTATTTCCAGGTCTTCGGTTTCTTTGTCTGTTTGCTTTTACTTTTTAGAAATCAAGCTTCTGTGAGTATGTTTCTGTTGTATCCTGATGTTCTTATGCAGTAGATATAATATTGCATAGGTTATATATCAAGTGTCATAGAATATGGCTAATTTATACACTTACCTGATAATGCCGAATTCTTTTCCAGCGGTGTAGAAGACCTGCTGCTCACTACCTTGTCAACACATGGGAGTGTTTTACTTTTGAAAATTTCTGTCAATCTGGTAGATGTGAAATAGTACCTCATTGTGGTTTAATTTGCACCTACCTCATTATAAATGAGATTGAGGCTGGGCATGGTGGATCACACCTGTAATCTCAGCACTTTGTGAGATCAAGGCAGGCAGATCAACTGAGGCTAGGAGTTTGAGACCAGCCTAGCCAACATGGCGAAACCCCAACTCTACTAAAAATTCAAAAAAGTAGCCAGTGTGCTGGCACCTGCCTGTAATCCCAGCTACTTGGGCGGCTGAGGCAGGAAAGTTGCTTTAGTCTGGGAGGCGGAAGTTGCAGTAAACCGAGATTACACTGTTGCACTCCAGCCTGGATGACAGAGCAAGACTTTGTCTCAAAAAAAAAAAAAAAAAAAAAGGCCGGGCGCGGTGGCTCAAGCCTGTAATCCCAGCACTTTGGGAGGCCGAGGCGGGCGGATCACAAGGTCAGGAGATCGAGACCACAGTGAAACCCCGTCTCTACTAAAAATACAAAAAATTAGCCGGGCGCGGTGGCGGGCGCCTGTAGTCCCAGCTACTCAGGAGGCTGAGGCAGGAGAATGGCGGGAACCCGGGAGGCGGAACTTGCAGTGAGCCGAGATCGCGCCACTGCACTCCAGCCTGGGCAACAGCGTGAGCCTCCGTCTCAAAAAAAAAAAAAAAAAAAGAGATTAAACACCTTTTCATATGTTTATTTCCTAATTGTGTTTCCTCTTCTATGAAATGCTTATTCATGGCTTGTGCCTTTTTTTGTTTGTTTGTTTTTTGAGACAGAGTCTGGCTCTGTGCCCAGGCAGAAGTGCAATGGCACGATCTCGGCTCACTGCAACCTCCACCTTCCTGGTTCAAGCGATTCTCCTGCCTCAACCTCCTGAGGAGCTGGGACTACAGGCACGCGCCACCACGCCCAGCTGATTTTTGTATTTTTAGTAGAGACAGAGTTTCACCATTTTGGCCAGGATGGTTTCAATCTCTTGACCTCGTGATCCACCTGCCTCAGCCTCCCAAAGTGCTGGGATAACAGGCATGAGCCACCGCGCCTGGCCTCATTGGTTTTTTTTCTTTTTACACAGGGTCTTGCTGTGTTGCCTGGACTGGAGTGCAGTGGCACAATCAGGCTCACTGCAGCCTCAGCCTCCTGGCTCAAGGTATTCTCCCACCTTAGCCTCCCAAGTAACTGGGGCTACAGGTGCGGGCCACCACACCTGGCTGAATGTGCCGTTTTTTTGATGAAATTACTTGATTTTTTCCTATTGATTTTTTTAAAGTTCTCTACATATTATGGATACTCAAATTTTGTTGGTTATGTCTATATAACATCTTTTCCCAGTTTGTGATTTATAATTTCCCTTTCTTTGTGAGACCTTTTAATGAATGGTAGTTCTTGCTCTTAGTATGTTTGAACTTACCAAATTATTTCCATTATGATTTGTACTTTTTGGTCTCTAAAAATTCCTCTAATACCAAGGCATTTTCAAATTTAATTTAATTTAATTAATTTATTTATTTATATATCTATTTTGAGACGGGGTTTCACTCTTGTTGCCCAGGCTGGAGTGCAGTGGCTCGAATCTCGGCTCACTGCAACCTCTGCTTCCCGGGTTCAAGCAATTCTCCTGCCTCAGCCTCCCAAGTAGCTGGGATTACAGGCACCTGCCACCACACCCAGCTAATTCTTATATTTTTAGTAGAGATGGGGTTTCACCATGTTGACCAGGCTGGTCTGGAACTCCTGACCTCAGGTGATCCACCCACCTCGGCCTCCCAAGGTGCTGGGATTACAGTCATGAGCCACCGTGCCTGGCCTCAAATTTTATTTTTGAAGTTTAAAATTTTTCTATTAAAAACACTTA